CGGGTTTAGTTCTACGTATGCTGATTTGTTTACTAAACTAAACTCTCAAGAGGCAGAATCTGCAGTAAACAATTTATAAATAAATGACAAGATTGTTTTCCAAGGTAGGATACGTGCCGTTGACTAGGCATTGGTTCTGTTATTTTGGAACCGTCAGCCACAACCTGAGAAACAATTGTTTCAATCGTCTCTCAAGTAGCAGGAAGTTTGTTTCGTCTTTTTTTTTTTTTAAGAATGACTATTACTTCCTTTAAAATTCACAAGTAAGAAAACATTCTTGCTAATTCCTTGACAATATGAAACAAACTTTATCCATTTCCAACGACTAGAAAATTATTCCAAGTCTTCTTAATTTCTACAATGTACAAATTGCCTCCTAGATACACATGCCTCATATGACATTATACAACTAATTCTCAGAAGTAAAATCAAAAGTAAACACGTAAAAGGTTTCATGAGCTCAATAACTATTTGCAAATTTTTCACCAATTTATGTGTTGATAAGTTTCTTTTAAAAAGATTGTCCTTGAATAGCTAATAACATTTTTCCAATGCATTATATGATATGCAGTTTTTGTGGGAATCAATGTATCTAAGCTGATACAATACTACTTACCAATTCCCTACTATTTAATGGCAAAATTTAATGGAAAAATATATTTGTGAAATAAAAGTGATACACAGTTTGGAAGGACAATGATTATCTTTACTATAGAGATGTGTACAGTACACACACATGTATGAAACCTTTCATGAATACTCTGAGTAGTTTAATTTAGTTTAAGTACTGATTGGCTTCAGGGGAGTAAGGCTGAAGATAGGATTCTACCCATCCACATGCTATAGCACCTAGTCACTGGTGAGTATGGTTTTAAGCTATCAAACACACACACACACACACACACACACACACACACACACACAAACCCAAGACTAATTTTTCTCCTTCAATGATTCTACTCTGGCCTACTTAGAGTAGTCAACACAAAGGATAGCCAGAGACATGAAGGATGCTGCCACTTGGATATTTTAATCTCCTAAATTTAAAATTGTCTCTACTCCATGTAATCCTAGGGCACAAGCCATGTCTACATACACTGAATTGGTGAAAATTGCACAGTTCAGTCCATTTAATTTTTGAGGGCTTAACTAGCCATAGTAAGTAAGAAGGTAATGGTGAGCCACAGTCCTCATGAATAAATAAAGCATTACCAAAGCAAATCATCCCGTGTTAATATACTACCAAATGTACATCAAAATTAGCAGTGCAAAATATGCTCCATATCCTGATTCTTTCTCTACCTGCAGGTAATTTTCTTAAGAGGCAAATCACTTTAAGTTTCTCTAATGAAAGATAGTCTAAAGGTAAAAAGGTATTGGAACTTGAGAAATACTGTTGCTCTGTTTTAAAATCAAATTTGTGGGATGTTGGGATGTCCATATAGATTCTGCCATGGTGCCATGCAATCATGATTTTATATAAATAATTAAATATCATTTTGGGATAATATTATTTGACTAGGAGTTAAGAAAGCAAGAGAGAATGTGCAAAGTCAAGGAAATGGACTGAACACATCTGAAGAGTAGTAAGCATGGTGGGGAGAGGACATGGGTACCAAGAGAACAAGACAGGACATTCGAAGTCAAAAGAAGTACATAAATAAAAGTATTTCAGTTACTGTACAGTCTTTTATAAAGTTGACCCAATATGTACTATGATTACGTGTGTCTTATGATTGGTGCAGATTTTTTGGCACAAATATCAAAGAGTCACACGGTTGGCCTTGTCAATACCAATATTTACTGTGCTCATGAGGGTAAGAATAAAATAACTGAAAGGCTTCATTCATTCAAAAGAAGCAAAAAGAAAATTACTACAGCATATAAGAATATGCATAAACTGGTATAAGAAATTAGTAAACTTGAAAGTGAAAGCCTAGTAGAGATAAACATGTTCAAAAAGAAACAAATAGGAAAAATGAAGCTGGATGAACGGACAGATAAATGCATAGACTTACGGATGGCCGGAAGGAAGGAAGGAAGGAAGGAAGGAAGGAAGGAAGGAAGGAAGGGGGGAGGGAAGGAAGGAAGGGAGAGGGAAGGAGTGAAGGAATGAAAACATTTTAGAGACCATGCAACCAAACAGTATGGTGGGTTCCTAAACATAATATAAACATATAAAAAAATTTCAGGACTCTTCAGTTGTCCTAAGAATGTACAGAATGGTAACTCTGATACAATATTGGAATACTTTTTTTGGTGTATAATTCTATAATCTCTGAAAAATACAGATTATAGTTATATAATAGTTATGTTTGCCTGTGGGATGGGAAGTTTATATTGGAATTAATTATATCAAATAAAAAATACCTGGTTGATGATGGGGAGATGGGAAATAAAAAAGAAGGAAGGCAAAGTAAGCACATAATCATAATATATTTTTGATGGAGTATACATAGGTGTCTAGTGGAAAAACTGGAGACTTAATCACACACAATAAAAACCTACTGTCTTTTATCTATACACGTTGAAATACAAAATCTTTGAAAACTATAAGTTTTGTGCTGAGCGTGTCACCAAAATTCATTTGGAAGTAATACCTGACTTGAATTCAAGACTATTAATAGTCTATATCTACTTGTAGTAACTAATATCTCTGTAGCAAAAATGTCTAAGTCATGTAATCAGGAGGTGCTGCTTTACATAAACATATAATATATGGGCTGTATCAGATTCCTGAAATGTGAAAAATCCTGAATTTCATAACAATTTGACCTAAGAGTTAGAATAAAAGGCTTTGGGGCTATAAGAGCCAAATTACTAACACAAAGGAAATCATGGTTAAATTAATGGAAAGATTACTCTTCAATTATGGAAAAACAAATAATGACTTACCCTTCTAGGACATGTAGAATATTCAAGCACTATATTTTTTTAAAAAATATTAAACTTATTTAGTAAGTTCTTGGCATATGTTAGGCACTAGATAAATATTTGTTGAATGAATGAATGAGTATAATGCATCATTTAAAACACCAAATATATCAATTTATCCAATCTTAAAGATTTTTTTTCTCTTCTATTCCCAACCTATCATTCTGGTTTCAATCCCCAACCCCCAGAATAGTAATCCATGAATCACTGTGTTCTTGGCTGCCTCAGTGACTTTGTTCTTGCTGCTTCATCCATGGAAAAGCTCATTCCACTTAACTCTACCTGTTGAAATCCTATTCCTACTTAAAGATAGAAGGCCTTTATTTTTGAAGAAGCGTTCCAAAGTTCCTCCAAAAAAGAATTCATCTCTCTTCTTCTGTATACTCAAGAGTACTTGATAACTACCTAAACTATAGCTCAGATCACCTTCTAGAATAAATACTTCTTTCCTAGCTGTCTTGTTCCCCAGACAAGTTTTGGGCTTCTTAAGGATAAAGGCTACAGTTTGTAACTACCTACCGCTCAGTATTACCCGATGTCATTATTAAGGCACATATATCATCCAAAAACTATTGAATTAAATCAGAATGAGGAGGAAGGATGAAAGACAAATCTAAATTTTAATCACGAGAGTGAAAAGAATGTATACAGTATTGGCAAGAATGCTAGAGCCGCTGTCTGCTTCTGCCAGCCAATACAGCTTTAGTGCCATCACAATACCCAATGCTTTGGCAGGTGAAAATTATTAAACAAGTAATCTAATGTCTAATCCCAGGAATAGAAAATGAACAAGATACACAAAAACAATTTTAACAAAAGAACAGACTCTGAAGTATAGACAACAAACTTATAGTCTGGGGAGGTGCGTGGGAGGATGGGTGAAATAGGTGATGGGGATTAAGGAGTGCACTTATTCTGATGACCCCTGACTAATGTATAGAATTGTTGAAACACTATTGTGCCCCTGAAATGAATATAACACTGTAAGTTAATTAAACTTAAATTTAAAAAAAGTAAAAACGTCAACAGATTAAAACAACAACATATAAAGTGAAAGCCTAGCATATTAAAGAGTAAATAGAGCTTACTTTCTATTAACTACAGTGGTCTGGTAATGAAAGAGGCTGTTCCATAAACCACCTGCTTCACTCTACCTATGGTCCAAGCAAAGGGTAAATGATTTGTTGAGAATTTTCAAACTGGATTTCCTAACGGTTAAGCTCAGAGGTCTTTAAAATGATCCCCATTTCATAGAAGTAAAATTTTAAAGACGTAGATGTTTTTGTATGTTAAGCACCAAGCTAAAATATATAACACTAAATATAACTTAATTTGGCACTATAAAATAAATATTAGCTTCATCAATTATTCATCTTAAAACAAAAGCCTATCAAACCTTAAGGAACCTAAAGTCCTCTAAAGTTGAAGTGAATGAAGTTCACCTATGTTCCCTGGGCCTCACGGCTGGTAAATGGTAGAGAAAGGCTCCAGCGACTAATTCTCAGTCTGTCCTTCCCACCTCGTAAAACCTCAGAATGCGGTGTCATCTAAGTCAAAGGCTGAAGCAACCAGTGTGCATACAAAATTATGCGTACAACAGACCAATTTTTATGTATTATTTGAGAAGGGCCTTGTGTTGAGCCCTGACTTGTAGATATATTCTTTTTTAAAATTTTTCTAATGTTTATTTATTTTTGAGACAGAGAGAGACAGAGCATGAGCAAGGGAAGGGCAGAGAGTGAGAGAGACACAGAATCTGAAACAGGCTCCAGGCTCCAAGCTGTCAGCACAGAGCCCGATGTAGGGCTCAAACTCAGAACCTGGAGATCATGACTTGAGCCAAAGTCAGACACTTAACCGACTGAGCCAACCAGGTGCCCCGAAGATATATTCTAATAATAAATAATAACTTTTTAGGCACCCTATGTAATAGGAACTTGCGTAAGACAATAATTCCTTCCTCAAGTGTGATGATGGCTTTAAATTCTTTTTAATCATTATTTCACTAACTTCATCATACTGATCCAAGCACTCAGCTCTTTCTCAACACATCCCCACGTACAAACCTCATCTCCTTCCTGAGGCCGCATCAAGGAAACCCGGTCGTACTGCCGCCGTAACAAAGCCCAGAGTGCATCAAGACGACCCTAAAGGGAAACATGATATGTAAATTCCTACGGGATGCATTCAACCCCTATATACTAAATAAATGAAGAATGAAAATGAAAAAGGTAAAGTCTTATTCTCGACTCTCATTTCTTTACTAAATTAAACAAATAATAATAAAAATGGAGGTTCTTGTTGCTGAGAAAGCATTCAGTTAGTAGAATGCATAATGAATGTCTGCTACTTGAGGTACTATGGTCCTCCTTCAGACAGTTGGGAGCTTGGAGGAGCTGAAGAAGTCACAGTTTCTCTGGTTACAGTTTCTCAGTAAAATCACAGAAAATGTAAACAATTACCTTAATCGGTGTGTACCACTTGTTCTGAGGAGGCTGGTATGTGGGTTTGGGACGAGGCGGTCTAGGCCTGACAGGTTCCTCCACTTCTTCAGGAATCCTCACCACAGCATTTTTGGCTTTCTCTAGCCTCGCGCCTTCTTCGGTAGATCCTTTATCACCCCAACGAACCTTCAAAACAATGGGGAAATACTTGTATCAGACATATAGTGTCCTAGAAGAACAACCTCTTATTTAATAGATGGCCTTTTGGCTCACCATCATGGAGTAAAGAGATGAGTAGTATACTAACTCTAAATTTCTCCTCTTCTGAGACTGAATTAAGTCTATTCCTCTTCTAGCCAACCACATACCCATATATACTAATGGCACTGGGAGAAATAGATGATGAGGACAATTCACATTTACTGAATGACTACCATGTGACAATTTGCACTCAATCCATACAAAAATGCAGTGGAATAGACAGTATAGATATTCTATATTTTTCCTTCCAGAAGAGGAAGCTGAGGCCCAGAAAGGTTAAGTGATATGCCCCCAGCAACACAGCTAGCAAGTGGCAGGGTGGGGATTTGAACACTAAGAAGTCTGAAATAAGTCAATACCTTTCAAAGAGGTTTGAATTTTACAAATATAATTTACACGTATTTTACAACTTTATTTTATACAAAGGAGTACACTGTTCCTTCCAAACTTTTCATCAAGTTTGCCTAAGTCGAAAAGTATGACTTAAACATTTAGACTTTAGAAGTAAAATAACTATAAGTCTGACTTTGGCTCAGGTCATGATATCACGGTCTGTGGGTTCAAGCCCCTTGTTGGGCTCTGTGCTGACAGCTCAGAGCCTGGAGCCTGCTTCGGAATCTGTGTCTCCCTCTTTCTCTGCCCCTTCCCAGCTTGTACTCTGTCTCTCTCTCATTCTCTCTCTCTCTCAAAAATAAATAAAAACCTTTTTTAAAAAAGAGTACCTTAAAAAATATTTGAAGTAAAATAACTATATATGATTTTTCTTTAATTTGGAAAATTTGACTTTCTAAGTAGCTTTCAGTCTTTAGTTCTGATGCTCATTTGGGTATGGTTATTTGACATGTCAATTTTTCATTGAGGAAGGAAAATCTGAAAAGACTCTGCTTTGAAAAGACAAATTCAGAGGCACCAGAGAATTGCACGAATTTTAGGGTATTTCCTTCTCTAAAAACTCTAGACATTGAAAAACTATAGGGTCAAATGATTACTTTTCTTATTCTTCAATGAATAGGAATTAAGAGCTAAATCTGGGCTAAACTTTATCTTACTGTCATGGGAATAGGATGTGACTCCTGGAGAAAAATTTTGTCCAACTATGAGCAGTGGAGAAGTCCTACAAAAATCCAGGGACATTAACAAAGATGATAACGATAAGGTAAGTGAAGGTCTAAAAAGAAATATGAAGCCTTGTCCATAGCACACTGATTCACCAGAGTTAAGTGATTTCTACAAAGGAAAAAAATATTAAGCACTTTTTAAAGCATTTTAATGACCTGAGTTAGTGGGTAGGGATACAGATGATTACCGTTCACAGAGAGAACTATTCATGGCTTTTCGATAAGGCTTACTTAGATGTTTTTAGCTTTTTTACTACAATTTTAGAACAGGCTTTCAACTTCAAGTGGACCCTGTTGAGTCATTAAAATGTATCTGTATCTTTCAGTGTGATCAGTGGTACTAGAATGTTCTTTATGAGGTTGTTAAAATTGTTTTAAATACCATTAAACCTTTAGAGCTAGATAGTTGGCTTTCTTTCCAGAGAAATGACCTTCTCTTTCAAATCACAGTGTCTTCACCTAGATAAACTAAAACTTATGAAATCTTTAGATATAGCTAAACTGAGCTTAAAAAACACACAAAACAAAACAAAACAAAATACCCTCTAAAACCAGGATATATATTCTGGCAGTTGTGACATCTCAATTTTAAGGGGAAAAAACAAAAACGAAAAAATATATGTACAATTAAGTAAACAAATAAATGTCAAAACTCAGAAAAGTAATTCAAACTAAAAATGTAAGTGGAATAAAGGTTAGATCTATTCAGAAATTATGGATTTAACATATACCCCTCCCCAGGTTAGCCTTCACAGTTGGTATCTCAGAGGTAATGATAATCATATTCTTCCTTCAAGTATCACTGGCACCATTCTCAGATAAAGAACATGAAGAAGTTGTTGAACTGGAGTTCTGACTCAATGTATTTCTAGAGACTCAACTACTAAGACTATATACTGTGAAGTCTAAAGGAAATACATTAATTAAATCCTTAGTGTTAGTTCTTAAAGTAGGTATTTGATCATCATCACCATAATCACAAAGAACAAAACAAATAATTCTCATTTCAAAGTCTAAAATTAGGAAATACTTCATAGATTTTTCCTAAAACTTTCAAAGCAATTATAGGCATACCTCAGAGATATTGAAGGTTTGGGTCCACACCTTCACAATAAACTCAATAGTGCAGTAAATGAGTCAAATGAATATTTTTGGTCTCCCAGGGCATACAAATGTTACGTTTACACTGTTCATTAGTCTATTAAATATGCAATAGTGTTATGTCTAAAAAAGCAATATATATAACTTAAGTAAAAATATTTTATTGCTACAAAATTCTAACCATCATCTGAACTTTTAACAAGCGGTAATCACTGATTACAGATCATCAAAAATAAATATAATAATAATGAAAAAGTTTGAAATATTGCAAGAATTACCAAGGCATAAAACAAAGACATTAAGTGAGCAAATGCTATTGGGAAAATGACCCTGACAGACTTGCTCAATGCAGGGTTGCCACAAACCTTCCATTTCTAAAAACACACAGTATCTGTGAAGCGCAATTAAGTAAGGTGTAATAAAACAAGGTATGCCTGTAAACATATACGCATTTGGTTGTATAAATTTGTAATATTTTAGTTTAACCACTTTAAGATAGTCAAAAAAGGATTTAAAATAAACAAGAATAAATTGCTAAAAGGGAACTTTAGCAGAATTAATATACGTGGCTTTTTTACTATGGAAGAAAAAAATAAGTGCAAGCTTGATTGCTAAATCCTTCCAACTCTACTTGGCTTTCATAATAAACAATAAAATTCCATAATTGCCAGAGTATATTTGGATGACTAGGAGGTTGTATCATAAAGGAGCAATTTCAGAATTGAGAAAAGAAACAAAAACAGTTTCACGCTGAATTGGCAGAAACACACATTTGAAGTCATTAGGTGTTGTGGATCAGTTGTGCTAACAGCTGTTATTAACATCAGCTCAGTTCCAGCATTCTGCAAATTGCCATTACCGTAATGTTTAAATATTTAATTTAAAGGAGGAGTAAGAAAAAAATCTATGTAAAATCCCTATCCCGGCTTAAAATAACATGTAATTCAGATGTGCACATAACTTCTAGAATTCCATTTATTTCTCCTACTTAGAGGTTTTTTTTTTTTTTTTTTTTTTTTTTTTTAAGGAAAATACTTTCCAGGGTTAAATAGGCATGGTTTTAAAACAGATTGTATTTTTTAGTTTCCCTAACTTTAGGTAAGATCAGGTTTGAGTAAATTTCATGGTGCTTAATTCTTGATTCAGTTTTTATTGTGTATTTTTATATATTGTTTACCCTTTGTAATGTTCACACTTCCTTTCTCATTTTTTCTCATTCCCATCACCATCCCATTGATGAACACCTTATACAATGCAGCCAAAATTGTCCAAAACTAAAATGCACCCCAATTATTAACAGTGAGCCCTTTCCATAAGTTTTCTTAAACTGAAAAGGACAGGCAATATCAGTCACATATTAAGAGTTAATAACTCTTGAAATTTGAAATGTGAGCTACTCAAGAGTGCACATAAGCCTTTGACTTTTTAGCTCAGGACCTCTTCAGGAGTTCATGTGTATACTTCCCCCCACCCCTACCCTTTAGAAAGAGATCTCAATCTTTAGTACACTAGAATACTGGACTCACAAAAATCTGGCATAATTCCTAGTCTTTTCAGCAAGAACATTATTCATTTAAGGCTCACTTCCTAGCATATCCATATCTCACAGTCATGTGGTATTTTATATGTGTGGATTTTAAAATGGAATTAAATGTATTATTCTGAATCTGAAGTAGTGCATGTTCATTATCAAATGAGTTAGAAAAAATAGGGAAATACATAGCTCAAATTGAAAATCACTCCATCCAGAGAAACCTACTAACATTTTGTACTATGTCTTGTCAAAACTTTCTCCCTTGCACTCATTTGTTACATACACATATTGGAATGAGACGAAATAAGCTAAAAATAAGTTGAGATAGACAATATTAGGATATCCATTGGTAACTATTTTAGCTACAAGTTTTTCATATACATTAGACGATGCAGTCTATTCTTTCCCCCACCCCTCCAAGCCTTGAATGACACAACACAGGTAAGCAGAAGGAAAATGTTCTTGGTTCTATGTCAGACAACAAGAGCTAACACAGCCTGTTTGATATTCTTGTGGACTGTTTGATATTCTCAATCACTCACATGTGAACACATACACACCATCTTTGCCAAAAGACAAATTTAATAGCTTCTAGCACCTGCTTTTTCCAGGGCTTATTAGCAATGAGGTACCAGTCTCAGAGGATATTTCTGCAATAGAGTGGCATGCTTTTACGGAAAGTGTGCATTATTTTAACATTTTGTGTGGTCAAGAAAGTGAGAATCACTATCTGATGGCTTGAATAACCATTTCTTCAGAAGCATACTGAAATTTATTCTGAAAAGGGGAAACTCTCCTGGTGAATCTGAATTTTATGGAAATGTATGAAAAGAGATAACTGCAACAGTTCTGAGGCTGTTTCTTAATTAGCTTCCTGGTTTTTGCTGGCAGTGATACAACAAGGCAGGTACGGTGGTAGGAGATGTGCAATAAGCGCAGAAGATATAAAAACTCCTTCTTATCAAGAAGTAGAGTTAAAGGATAACTAATAAGGAAGAAATGCCAGAATTTGTGTTTCGAAATAAAGTCAGCCTACCAATGACAAAACTCCTCCAACTATTCCATGAGGTGGGATGCTGGCCTATCTACACTGTTGCTAAGGGCTCAGCGCTGGCAATAATTGCTTATTATTAATTAATCTATCACTTTGAAAGCGATTTCTGTTGTGTGAAGAAGACCACATTTCATTTTTAAGATATAATATTGAAGTTCAATTTGAGCCAGTCTAAAAGTTCAATACATTCTATAAGTGATATATAAAATTAATTATGATAGGGGTGCCTGCATGGTTCATTCGGTTAAGCATCAGGCTCTTGATTTTGGTTCAGGTCATGTATCTCATGTATCATGAGTTCAAGCCCCCACATCGGACTCCATGCTGACCATACAGAGCCTGCTTGGGATTCTGTCTCTCTCTCCAACTCTCTCTGCCCTTCCCCCACTCACGCTCACTTGCACTTGCTCATGTGTGCATGCTCTCTGTTTCTCGCTCTCAAAATAAATATGTAAACTTAAAAAAAAATTAAATTAATTATAATTGTTCATAAGTGGTAACTAAAAGCTGTTTTTAAAAAAAGCCTTGGGGCGCCTGGGTGGCTCAGTCAGTTAAGCATCCGACTTTGGCTCAGGTCATGATCTCACGGTTTATGGGTTTGAGCCCCACATCGGGGTCTGTGCTGACAGCTCAGAGCCTGGAGCCTGTTTCAGATTCTGTGTCTCCCTCTCTCTCTGACCCTCCCCTCCTCACACTGCCTCTCTCTCTCTCAGAAATAAATAAAAACATTAAATAAATAAATAAATAAACACTTCAATGTTCTTCCTCTACATTTGTGATTAGGTCATACCCATACTACTGAATATTTTAACATTTTTATCCCTAAATAGTACATAACTATTGGATCCTTTCAAAGAAAAGCATTGTTGCAACTTTAAGTGGTTGGCTTCTACAAAGTTGATGCTGTCTGCAGTAATTTTTTCCAAAATAGTAAGAAAAATTCTAACTTTGTTTTGCCTTTTAGAGTTCAAACGTCTTATCAATGCAATGCTTTGACTAAATGAGTTCAGTTCTTCTTGGACAGTTTTGAAATGGCCAGGATGATTCCATAGAAAAAAATTATCCAAAAAAGACCCACTGTTAAATAAAATTGGATGGTATTAAATTGTGAAAAGTGCAGTTTCCATGGTTTAATAGTTCTAGAATTACATGTTCATATTAGCAGCTGCATTTTTTTTTTTTAAAGATACCAACCTCCATTCTTTTAATTCCTCCAACCCCTCGGCCACCATAATAGGAAGCATCCACTGTGGGCCATTTCTTGGTGGGTAGAGGTTCCTCTTCCTCCTATGGAGATACAAGTTTTTAAACACAGGTTTAATTAATTTCTTAAAATACTGTTTATTCAGAACAAACTCACATTTAAACATTTTTCTCCAAATAATGTCACTGACATCGAAGAAATGTGGTAGCAATTATGTAGAGGGCATGTAGATGCACTTAGGCTTACATGCATAAATTTCAAGTGGAATTCTACAGAATACTGACCTCCCTTATTTTACCAGGTCACCAGAAGTTGCTTCCTAACTATGAGCATCATTTGCTTTTCCAATTCTATACATCACTTCATATTTAAAAAGACATTAAATTTAGAACAGCATTCCAGTAATCATTTAAAGCATCAACATACATGTTAAGTCAAACTGCAAAATTTGTGCTAAAAGGATAGGCAGCTGAGCAGCTTAGAAAATACACTACACCACTACCTTCCATATTTCATGATGCTAACCCAATTTTGGCTAACAAAGAGTGTAATATAAAAGTAAGAATCATTCTGAAGACAGGAATAACATCTTTAAACTACCAGCTTGGATCTTCTAGCTTTTTATAAATAGGTAACATCAGGACTATTGATGTATTGATATAAAAAGTAAAGTACATCTCTATGCACTATTGATCCTCATGGTCAGTCTATATTTATCAGGTTTTGAAGGTCCTATTCCTTGATCACACAAAAAAAGTCATAAGAAGATGAAAAATAACAATTAATTTTCATAAATTCAGAAGTCAGTAACAGGTCTCATAGTTACAAAGTAATTGATCATAACTGTTGATAATATCTAAATACAGAAAAAAGTAACCACATCACTTATTAGGTACTTATTTACCACTTTTGGTGCAGGAGGTGGTGGAGGAGGAGGATCCTTGATAACCTGTCCAAAAAAAAAAAAAAAAAATCAAATGTAAAAACTTTGGTGGTGGCATAGGAAGGAGACAGCAAAGATGTATAAAAATAACTAGATTAATAACATAACATACTGTGGTAGTGTCAAAAATGTCCCATGTGAACCTTGCCTCTCAATGTAGATGCCTCTCCCTTAGAATACAGGCTTGCCTGTAACTAGCTCCTGACTGACTAGCTTGAAGTATAGGTGCTACCACGTGACTCCTGCAGCTAGGTCAGAAGAAGCTTTTCCACTTCCCTCGACATCCTTGGGACACACACTCTGTAGGAAGCCTGCTGTGCTGTCAGAAGTCTATCCTGAGACCATCAGGCCAGGGGGTGGAAGCCCGGGATAACCTTATGGAAAGGTTGGATGATGAGAGAGATGCCTGGCCAACCTCCAGCTATGACAGCTATCCCAACTGAAGTGTCAAGCATGGTTCTCTCAGACCTGGGTCTGTCGAGCTTTCCAATGACTCCAGCCCAGGTGCCACCTGACTGCAATCACAGGAGAGAACCCCAGAGTGAGAATCTCCTGGCAGAGCCAGTCTCCACAGAGCTAGTTGCTAGAAGACACTAGCTTGTGGAGTGGTTTGTTAGGCAGCACTAGATAACAGGCACCTAACGATTCACAAAACTCCTTCACATCCATTCATTCATTTTAGCTTGATGCCATAGACATCTTAGTAGCTTCGTTTGTCAGGTGAATAACAAGACCAAAAACTGCCAAATAGTTTGCACAAAGTTTCACTAAATGGATCTTCTAATGTCAAAATGCAACCATTTTTCACTAGATTACAGTATGTCCCTTCAAACAGAGCAGGAATTTACTAGCAAAATCTTCCTTCTGTGACCCATTGACTTTTCCACAAATTTAAAATGCACAAGTTAGCTTGCTTTGGAAGAGATGATGGGGAAATAAACACTTTCTCTTTCCCCACCCTTTAAGCTAGAAACAAACATTCTTAAAGAAGATGCCTTTTCTGTGAATCATTACTCAATATATTCTTTCATTACACTGTATATGGCCGATTCTTTATGTGACAGAAATGAAGCCTGAGATCTAATCTAAATGGCCTTTACCAGTATGAGGTAGCCAACTTTCACATCATCATGATACAAAGTTACTGACCAAGTGGCAATGGTTTCTGATGATTTAGATATACATCCAAGTCTCTAGACACAGAGGAAAATCTGTCTGAAAATATAACTGCTTCGCCATAATGTCAAATGTTTCGATTCTGTTTTAAAATTTTAAAAAGTTCAAAACAATAATAATTTTAAAAATGAATATCATCAAAGAATTATTATTACTATTTAGGTATATTACTGTAGTCATGAATATGTTGTTAAAAGAGTGCTCATCTTTGTAAAGATATATACTGAAAATGATATGATTCTGATATTTCACCAAAATAACTTGTGATGGGTAAGTGGAAGGGATTATAGATGAAATACAATTAGCCATAAATTGAGAATCACTGAAGCTGAGTGAAAGAGACATGAGGGAACTCATTATTTTAAACTTTCTCTTTGTGTATGTTTGAAATTTTCCATAGTGAAAGGTTTTTAATATGTAATGCTATTGATAGTGTTGAGAGAACTAACTCTTACTTTTCTTTATGTATAATGTTTTCATTGTTCAAATTTTAGTTTGGATCTAAATTTCAGATAGATCCAATCTCCACATAGATGTGACTAGACAGTAATTTGACAGTTTAACTGAATCTAGTTTATTCAAAAATTTGAATGTTACAAACAATGCTGTTATTTCTATTTAGCCCTTTTATTTAATTCAATTTTATCCGAAATAAAAATTTCAGTTCCCATTAGTAATTGTGAAGGATAAAAAGCTGTGAATTTTTACAGTTAGCCCAGAAATAAATGTCAGTGGAGGATTAAGACTTAAAACAATGCTGTAGTAAAATAAAATAAAGGTTATCAAGCCAGAGGTGTATTTATAGAAAGGAAACACCACATATCATTATCCAAACTGCATGTTCAAACTCAATCAGTAAAACTGGATCTATCAACATTTCTCACTCAAAATGATCAAAATAGCCAACCCTTCTTCCATATTTCTTTCAACTCAATTAATTATTCTTTCCAGTTGCAGCCTCAAAATTTTCACATAATCTATACTTTCTTCTTCATTTCTAAATGATTTCACCAAGTCATTTACCATGTCCAACAGATTTTTTGAAATATTTCTCTCTCTCTGTCTGTGTCCCTCATCTTCCCACTCAGGACTTTCCCCAATCTTCCCAACACAGATAAGATTCCCCACATATGCATAAATGCCTATTTGTTCCCTAGATCAACTCCCTAGCATTTATCAGAATTAATAATTTTATCCAGCTCCATAAAACTGTAATTTCCATGAGAAGGAAATTTACGTCTGTTTTTCTAGTACTTAGTAAATGATCTGGCATAAAATAAAGGTTATCAAGCCACAGATGCATTTTCTTATTTTGTAAGAAAGGAAGGAAGGAATAAAGAAAAGTTAGGAGGAGAGGAAAAGGATGGAGGTGGGAAAAGAAGAAAAAAAGAAGGGAGAAAGGGACAAAGAGAGAAAGGAAACAAGGAAGGAAGGAAGGAGAAGAAGAACAAGGGAAGAAAGAAGGATTCTTTGCATTCTATTCCCACTGTTCCCACCCAAAATCATAAACTCATAATTCTCTGGACCTTAAAAATACTGAGTTGAGATACATTTTCCAACTTCTTCAATACGCACTCAACCAAAACCTCAAGATTCTGACAACTTCTCACCAAGCTCTAGTCCAACTATGTTTGAATTCCTGTAATAAAGAGACATTCACTACTTCACAAAGCAATTGACTCCATTGGCAAGGAATTTGCATCATTTGAAAGCTTTTCCCCCCAAAGAAGCCAAACCACCTCTCTTTCTATAGTTTCCAGTCTTTAGTCCTGATCCTGGGATGTGGACACACACACACACACACACACACCCACACACCCACACACCTAATCTTTCTACCAGAAGAGGGCAGTTCCTATATTTGAATACTAGGATAATAACCATATATCTACTGGGCCTACTCATCTGGAAGATAAACATCACAACAATTTTTCACGCAATGGTTCTGAGTTATTGGGTCATCTTGGTCCATTTCTTTAGTACATATTCTTTTGATCAATACCTCCAAGTGGGGTTTCCAGAACTGATAATAGCTTTTTAAGTGTAACCAAGCCATTATAAGTAAATGTATGGTACTCATATAAAACAGATGCACCCCCACCAGTTTGTACTTCCATTCTATACATTTTAATTAATAACACAGTGATAACACTGATTGGTAGTCAATAATTGCCATAGCTTTTTTTTTTTTTTTTGGCATCAATGTCCACATGCTCTATTTACTTAAATCAGATATTTATCTTGTCTTTCTATCTCTGACACATCCCTGATTCTAACCTGTGTAACTAGCTATATTTTTCCAACAGTAGCTTAAGTGCTTCTCTGGTCAAAATGGATCAATTGTTCCAATGACCACTATTGAATTCATTGAATTAGTGAATTGTATTGGAAGATCTGTACAAATCATGCTCTACTCTTAGCTCTGCAAATTACCCTGAAGTGCTCCCTAGAATTCTTTCACTAGAAAAAGACCAAGGCACATCCTTCATTCCATAAGTCTGACCATGATGTATCTGAACTCCTTTTCATCTCTTTATGAGAATTTCACATTTACCCTGCTTATTAGCTATACATCTTGTACTAGTATACATATTTCTGAGGACAGAAACAGTTATCCCTACCTGGTTCTATATTATATCCTCCTGAAAATTATTGAAAATCCTCCTCCATGACTCATCCTTTTTTTATGTCACCCTTGTCATATTCATTATCCTGCAAAGCATCTAGTTTTAGTGCTTATATGGACAAATTGAGTTTCAATATAAAATCCTCATATGACCACAGCCAACAGACTCACAGCAGGTTAACAAGAAGCACCTTAACATTTTTTCAACAGTCACAACCTGGAAAAGCAAAGCTCCTTTTCAGTACAGATACATGACCCAGGTCTTCTATGCTCATTGTTCAAATGGTTCCGTATGATGCAGTTCTGCCCTCACATCCTATCTACTAACAGTCCTATGTGCATTGTTACTCTAGAAAAAGTGAAGATTCTTTTGCTTGCCCCAAATAAAATGCCCCTTTCCATGTTAAGTCCCATCCAACTTTCACAGAACCATCCCCCCAGCATCGTATTGCTTTATCTAAAAGCTTGAAAACTTCTAAAAATAAATGTTGCTGCACAGTTAAATCATTCATGATTTATTAAGTTGGGCTTGTATGATTATTTGGGAATGTTTAATCACTTCTCCTTCTTTGTAAGTATCACCAGTTCCTCATAAAGCGCTCTGAGAATAGCAGATACTAAAAATATGATTGTAAGTAACCTGAAGGAGCTAGCTGAGAATGTTCACAAAGGCTTATAGCCAACCTCTAAATTTAAAGAAAAATACTGAGGAAAAAAATATAAATGATAAACAGATGGATGTAGGTTCCCATGAAACTAAAATATTGCTAGTTTCAAAGAAAATGAAGCATCAAATTTCTCTTTCAACCAATAAAATCAGAGAACTAATTAACTAAATGGCAGGTGGGAAGATGTTAGACTGTCCTAAGTTTCTTCATATGGGAAATAAATTGGATTAATTGTAGGTCATGTCCAACATGAAATTTCTGATAAAACATTTAAAAAATCCATATCACATTTTTTTCACCAGGTCTTTGTTTCTGCCTTTCCATAATTAAGTGGGCTATGTATCAATATGCATTTGTATTCACCTTGTTCCAGAAAAGAACATACGGGTTTCTTTTTCCAAAAATGTATAATTAATCTTATTTATAATTAAATGTATGACATTATACATTTCAATTGGTTTTGAAATTCTAGCAAGTATATTTTCTACATTGTTAACAATGGAAATACAGCCCTTAAAACTCTACCTACATCATAT